TTACACTTTATTAATAAAGTGATGTCACACTTTCTGATTAAATACGAAAATGTCTGTTTCCATTTGGATGAAAAAAAACAACTGAATAACCAAACCTTTAGGATCGCTTAAGTTGAATTACTGAAATATTTCTGTCGTACTGTTCTTGACAAAGAAGCTAGTATGTTATTTATTCGTAATGAAGCTTTTGCGTACAATTTTCTGTTTGATCACTTTATTGAAACTCCTACATACGCTTGAAAAACATTCTAAAAATTTACGTAAATAGGCTAAATAGACGTAGAATGTGATATTTCAGTTAACTGCCTGAACACCCTAAATACAGAAATGTGGTTGTATCATGGTTAGCTTACAATGAGTAAGAGTAAAGATCTCCTGGATTTTCAAAGTGACGTCGTTCTCAAAAACAGTTTCTTTACTAGCAGTTCAAAGATACTTATCGTAAGATTTCATCAATAATATCAACCAAAAATAATACCTCTGCAACTTGAAAAACCGTGCCTGCCAAATTCTGATGACTGACTAAGGAAAAGACGATTGGGCAGACTTGTAAATTGTAACAGACATTAAACTATGTCCCAACTGGCCCATTCTCACGAATTAAATAGCAGAAAAAAATATGGCCACCGAAAAGCAATCTCAGAGTCATTTTATTCAGATACAAATAGAAAGTCGCATCTTCAGAGGTAATTAGACTGTAGACAGTGAATAGCTGGAAACGCGTGATGGGTTGATTTTCCCTCTTCTTACGGAAGAAAAATGAAAACACGAAGAAAATCACGTGAGGTTATGTTGTATATTTAGTATTATATGTTTCTATTATTATATTATAAACTAATTTCTATATCATATAACTGATGTATTTATTTATTATGATATATATTTTATTATCTTTATCATTATTAACTATATTCTATACATTTCTCATGTTTTTAACTATATTCATGCCCCCCAGTGGCACAGCGGTATGGCTGCGGACTTATAATGCTAGAAACCGGGTTTCGATACCCGTGGTGGGCAAAGCACAGATAGCCCTTTGTGTAGCTTTGTGCATAATTCCAAACAAACTATATTCATCATTTTTAGTTATTGTTATATATTTTTATTATAAACTATATTTTATATTATATAACTGAGATACGCTTTTGTATTTCTAGCGTAATCATGAAGCAGAGCTACAGAAGTCTACATCTGGCTCTGGTACTTCCGTCCAGATCCAGCAGCCTATAATAGCAGCGTATTGTACAGAATCAACTAAATAGAAGTCTACACACCCTTGTCAGAAGCACATCACTAACGAACTCGTCAATTGTATTGCCAGTACACTGCAACCTTTCTCAGTCAAAAGATTTTCAAGATCTAATTGTAGCCATGGATTTTCGGTATATTCTTCTTCTGCCCACAACGTTGATCGACAGCAGGTTTGATGAAGTCCAACAAAACAAAATCACCTCTCTACTGCAACTTGTACCCAACACCAATATTACTGTGGATATCTGGAGTAGCAGACAAATGCGCAGCTTTCTTGGAGTCACTGGTCATTTTATGCTTGACTGGAAATGCAAACAGTCAGGATGACATGTTGGCGTTTCAATAGGTCACATATCTGATAACATTGCAGCTCAATATGACGAAATAACAAATCTCTTTAACATCAACAACAAGGTATCATATGTGACATCTGATAATGTATCCAACATGACCAAGGCTTTCTGCTTGCCTGGATTTGAACCACAAACACTACCTAGTGTGAAATAGTGATAGCTCATCTACAGATAGTGACTCAGAATATGAACTTTTGGATGAATCTAAATCAGTAGACAATTTATCCAAACTTATTTCTGAACATGACCTCTACTTTTCCCACACGCTACAACGTGTGGTCAGGGATGGCATAAAAAGCTGGACCACTGCTGAAAGTAATTTCCAAAGCATCAACCATAGTGTCCTACATTCGAAAATCAACGCAAGCAACTGATCTACTTGAGGGAGTGGCCACAGTTCAGTTGGTAACACCTACACGATGGAACTCAGAAATTAAAATGATTAAGTCTTTATTGAAGATTCCCCAGGAGAAGTTGGATGATGTAGATACTGGTACATCGAAACTTATTTTTCATGATTGAACTCTGCTTGTAGATTTTATGACAATACTGACACCTTTTGAAGAGACAACAGATTTCACCCAGTGTCAGAACATTGCTACTTCCAGTTATGTAGTGCCATGTGTTTATAGGCTGGTTACTGAGGTTGACACCATGCAGTGCAAATACAATTTCAATCTTGTCTCTGCAGTGAAAAAAATATGTTCACGCCCGGCTGACTCAGTATGAGCAACGAAGTGTTTTCTGCTTGGCTACAGCATTGGATCCCAAATTTAAACTTTGACTGGTGTTTCATTAGACCTATGGTCTATGAATCCACTCGAATGCTCTTGCAGCAAGAAGTCAAGAGAATTTCCTCAACAAGCCATGGAACCAAAAGAGAACTGTAAATCACCCCCTCATAAAAGAAGTAAGCTCTTTAGTGTTGTTTTTTTTTGCTGTCTCTAAGATACCAGTCACCTCATCTTCAGAGGATACAGAGATCAACACCTACTTCGATGGTCCTTGCATTCCTGTAGAAAGTAACCCTCTAGTTTACTGGAAGATCCAAGAAAACAAAAACTTTCCTACTTTATCTCTACTAGTCAAACGCTATCTTGAGTATTCCAGTATCCTCTGTCCCAGTTGAGCGTTTGTTTAGCATCAGAGGTAAAACCCTCAGACCTGATCGCTGGCGCCTCACTGACAAGACATTTAGAGACTGATGTTCATAAAGAACAATGGACAGTTATAATATCTATAAGTCTCCTTTAAGAATATAGTTTTTGTTCTAAAACTTTGTTATTGCATTCTGAAAAATAAAAGTATTGAAATGTTATTACTTGTTCAAATTTTGTTTGTTTCAGTTTCTAACAAGTTTATTTTATAAAATAAATGTATCTAAATCTTATAGTATTAATATGTTGTTTTATCATTATTGAATATTACCTGACAAAGAATTCAATAATACATTCCTATGTATTCGTGTTCGTATTCGAATACTTAGCATTTTTCCTGTATTTGTATTAAAATATGAAGTATTCGTATTTGCATTCGTTTACTGATCTCCAGTATTCGCCTCATCCCTGATTTACATAAAATGATGTATTTTTATTTTTGTTCGCTACGAATTTCAGATAGTATGTCCAATTTTTATCACATTAGATCACTTACGGGTATTTTACACCAAGACTGTGAGTGCTGACTTTTTATTCTATTTGTTTCATATATTGTGTTGACACATTCAACAATTTCCAATTAATTTAGAATGACATATTAACAGTTTTAGATCATATTTGCACAAACTTTCAGAGTCGTTAAGAATAAGTCTGTAAAATTAATGAGATCTTTTCAAGAATCGCTACTTTTTATTCTTGACTAATGTATCACCTACGTTTTCGTAACCACTCAGAGGGGGGTGGGGTGTCTATATGATTTTTAAAAAAACATTTTTCTTAAAACATAAAGTGATAGCTAGTACTTTCATCGATGAAAAGTTTGCAGAAAACACACATTAACTTGAAGATGTTACATAAAAAGTGTTACTTTGAAGACGTGCATCACGAAACTACATATACGTAAGGCTTTATTCATAGATCATGTAATACAAGCATAACATAGCTATAGTCTTATTGAAAGAAACAGTAAGTACTGAATCATAGCGAATGTTCGTTATATTTTTACAAACGTGATTTTTACTATCAGCTTTATGCCATCTTAATAGTTGCTATAAGAATGATAAAAATGATAATATAGTAAATGCAAGGGCATACTTTTATTATGTACAGGGGAAATATTTGGTTTAATAAAGTAAAACCTGATTACTTCTAATTTTAATATTTTAGTTTAACAAATGGGATATTTAATTTTTCTTTATTTTCATTTGACGTATTTAGATTTAGTATTTTTTTAAATCTTTATAAAGGTCAGATTTTAAAATATAACGAAAATTGGCTTAAAGTAAAAACTAAATCTGAAACGTTTTATTCCGTTCATCCAGTTTTTCTAGCTGATTTGTCTTTAGTCAAATATTGCACTGGCTAAATAATCGAATCGAATACTTAAACAACCCAATAACACCTGATAAAGTACTGTTGCATAATTTAGTTAACGGTAGAATAAAAAGATTAAAACACACAAATGACTTTTCAATTTATTTAAAATAACATTTGTCAACTTATATATTACCTTATTTAATTGAATGGTCACTTGAGTCAAATACTAATGAACCTTTTCTTTCTGCAGACTGGTTTACGTCAACGCGTTAGCATTCTCTTTCGAAAACTAAGAAAATATATGTTTTGAGGAAAAGTTTCAAAGCGGTTTCTTCGTATTTTTTCTTTTTTGAGTTGCGATATTTAGTAATATTAGAACGAAATCTTTATTACGTTCAAAGTAATCGATTTTTTTACAGATTATATGATATATAATGTACGTTGTAGTTTTATAATTAGTTTCAAGTTATTATTATTTTTGTGTATGTAAAGTAATAATAAGAAATTTAAGTGTGGAAGTAAAATTTTCTATCTATTTTCTATTGAAAAGGAGACAAAAATAAAATTATTTGAATAAAAACTAGTGGAAAAGTAACTCAAAAAGATTAACTTTAGAAAAGCGCTGTATTTCTGCTTTCCTGCTATTAAACTCGTTAAAATTTGATCTTGCGTTATATATTTATACATATGAAGAAAAATGTCCTGTCCGAAACGTCTTAACTATATATATATATATATATATATATATGTATGTATGTATGTGTGTGTGTGTGTGTGTGTATGTATGTTATAAAGTGGTAGTGGTATTACGTAGTGTCATTTTTTAAGTAAAATCCCGACTTGATATAGAAAATAAAAAGATTAATAAAAATGTAGTTAGTATACATAAATACGACTTTAATTTTCTGTATTTTTGTTTCAGATTTCTGTTGAACAAAATTAATTTTGCACCGCTGGCCAGTGCCGAAACTCTTACCCCGTCGCTGAGGTCATCTTTCGCAAGTATAAGTACCGCTATCTAGTGTGTAACAAACAAATCCTTAGTTACTTTTACTCCTCGCCTAAATTAATGTGTAAAAAATAGTATTATCATTATGTTTATTGATATAATAGTAATGGGGACTACAAACGTTTTATCCAACTGTCAGGGTTTACATATGGTGAATAAGTTAAGAAATGAAAAGTTTAAATACAGGCAAAAACATACTAAACAGCAACCTCGCGATAGCTTAGCGTTAATCATGAGAACTTGAAACGATAAAACTAGAGGTTCGATCCCTGTGGTAGACACAGCACAGATAGCCCACCGTGCATATTTGTGCTTAATTACAAATAAACAGCAGTTGTCGAAACTTATGCTTATCTAATCACTTCTGTATTCCTTTATAGTGTGCAGTGTTGTAATGTATATTTCTTCTTCTTTTCATTTTGCCCACCAGTGGCACAGCGGTATGTCTGCAGACTTACAACGCTAGAAACCGGGTTGGGCAGAGCACAGATAGCCCATTGTGTAGCTTTGTGCTTAATTCCAAACAAATAAACAAATTCTTTTTATATAAAAATAACTACTTCAAGGAATCGTTTTAAAAGATAACATTTGCTCGAAGTACTGGCTGAAGAATAATTACTGAGCCTATCGATGAAAATATAATACTTTAAAAATTATTTATATGAACAGTTCTTTGTTTAACGATTCAAGATGGTATAAAGTACACATATTCAAATCTCTTAAGCTTTTACCATAAATGTTTTTTCTAACGTTATTAACATCTGAACATCGTCTCTACATCAAAGAAATATTCACACTATATATAATGTAAATAATTTACTCAAAACATATTGTTGACTTTCTAGTACGATATTTTACCATATAATTTTTAATTCTAGGTAAAACAGGTCATATAAAAAGAAAATATAGAAACGCATGTTAACATTTTATTTGGTTAGACTACGAGAAAAAAATATAACAACTACCTTTTAAGTAGAGGAGTGACATTTTTGTAACATTATAGATTAGTATGTTTTTGTTGTCATAATGTCATCAAAATGTAGGGAGAGTTTCCCAAAATCGTACGATATATCATTTTCATGATTTCTTTAGCCTTGCAAAGTATTTTCTTGTAAGTTAATATTATAACACTTTTAAATCATATCGTTACATGTGGGATTACATTGTACAGTGTCAAATGTTTTGTTACTATTTGGTAGTTAAGTGATAAAAAAATACATATATGTCTTAGAACTATACTACTCGTACGCGGACCAAACTTAAAGCAGCGTGCACTGTCCAAATCTGATGTTTTTTTTATATTTAAACAAAATAACATATGATATAATACTTTGGGATACGATTATTTAAGAATTTTCTTAATAATATTATACTTTATCGCATAGAAAATATATGTTAACAATATTTGGTCATTAAATGACAGATGGAAAACAATAATTTCCAATTCAAACTAATGAAATGTAGGGAGAATATCACAAAATGGTAAGATCTATCATTTCTATGTATTTTACCTATATTATTAAATTGAATTTGTAAAATACTTCATATATATATTGTATTTAATATAATATATAAAGCATTATACAAACGAAATTGACTAGTTGTTAGAAATTATTTAATGGACATCACTGTATAGTTTTGAATAAAAGATAAAATGTTTTATCTCTTAATTAGATCAAGCTCGATTTCACAAAAAACGGACCGTTTAGCTATAGTATATGATTTTTAATATTGGATTGAAACAACAGGTTAGATATGGGACTCAACCCGTTATTGTTGTTTTAGTGCAAAGCTGCATAATGGGCTATCTGCATTCTGTCTACAGCGGAGCATCGAACCTCAGAATTTAGCACTGTAAGCTCCTAAACTTACCGTTGACACACTGAGAGATGAGACTTAACTTGTGCTCGGTTCGTTGTTCAATAAATTCGTCCTATTTGGGCCAAGCGTGTCATAATGGTTTGTGGGGCCAGATTGTGAATATACGTGTCCAGTGTTCGCATTCCGTTACTACAAATATATATGTATATCGCGTTCCTAGCGTTCAGGCTGCGAGTGCGTGATAAGGGTGACTGTCAAATTTAACTATTCGGTTATGCAAGTGTAACCCAAGAGTTTACGGTAGGTTTTGACAAGGTGCCATTCCTCCAAACTATCAGATCGAGATTAGGGACGGCTAAGTAACTTTGTCGCAAATAAAAAACAAACAGAAAATCATCCTATTACCTGTTTGAATTTTTTTATTATATTTCTAAAAATCTACAGATTAGCATAGGGCATAATCAGTGATTTTGACTTCAGTGAATAGAGATGATTTACCATAACGCTTGATCTAAATTTAGTTTGCTATCGCTGAACAAAACCGTTTAACGATTTCAAACTTAGCTAAGGTATAACTTGATTTCAGTTGACAAAACTGATTAGTGATAAAACTTGAGATATATATAAACACTTGGTTTGGTTTCAGAAGTGCAAGTAGTTTACGGTAGCATTTGATATCATATTATTGGCGAAACCGGTTAGCTCTTAGGCTTAATCTATATTTAACCTGATTTTACAAAAATAAACTGGTTAGCAGTTAGAGCTAACTATAATTCGCTTGATTTCAGTAAACACAAATATTTAAGAATTTATTTACAGTTGTCTTAGTTTAAATAAATGAAACTATTTAGTAATAAAATATAGAAATTAGGAAGCACAAGTGGTTATCTGTGGGGCTTAAATTATATTTGGTATACCCCTAAAACTAAGTAAACGTAACCAGTTAGCGGTAGGATTTCATTGATTTTACGACTGGTTTTCAATAGTTGAATCATAACATTTCTAGAAGTTTCTCGAGCTGAAATACTTATGTTAAATATCCACTTGTAATCCATTAAGCTATTCAGTGACATTTTGTAAATGATTTTATTGTCTAAGTATTCACGTTTAATGACTGATATGATAACGTATGTTCTTGCTCATTGGAAATGCTCATGTACGAACAAATACCTAAACTTTATAGAAATACTTTTGTATGTCAGTAAATATGTATTTTTGTGCAAAATTCTTTCTGTAAACGTAGCTTTGTATGACAAACCCCATTTACAGTGTATTTATACATAATTTTCGTATGTTGAAATTAAAAAAAATATATGTATATAAGTGACTTGCGTGTGATTTGCTGTATGATAGATGCTTTTATTATTATACCCTGGTTCCGTAGTCCTCGCGATCGAATATGCTAAGTAACAAAAACCACATGGAAAAATAAAATAAAACAAAGGATGCCAAATAAATTGCAGCCTGTAAGCTACCTTTTATGGAAATTAATATAAGCTAGATTCGTTCTGACTGGATCGTACAAAAGTTGATTCTGAAGTATATAACATGTGGGCAAGTTTGATACTAACTGGATCGTATGAAAACTGATTATGAAGCATGGAATGTTTTAACAGAGTCCTCATACTGGCGGAATCATACTAAAACTGATTATGTACTATGCAACTTTTTGAACGACTCTTCTTACTGGCTAGATCATACTAAAAATGATTATGTAGTATGCAACTTTTTGACAGTAATCGTACTGGCTGGATCGTACTAAAGCTGATTATGTAGTATACTACTTTTTGACAGAGTCGTCGTACTGGTTGTATCGTACTAAAACTTATTATGAAGTATGCAATGTTTTAACAGAGTTCTCATACTGGCTGAATCATACTAAAACTGATTTTGAGGTATGCAACGTTTTGAAGGAGTCTTCGTACTGGCTGGATCATACTAAAGCTGATTATGTAACATACTACTTTTTGTCGGAGTTCCTGAAAATTTTATGGATTGATCTATTTCTTCACAAACTAAAAATAATTACTCGAGCAATCGTTTCTTCTGAAATCAGCTTCTCTGTACGAGTGCTACATATTTTCTGAGTAGCTCCATGTCCTTTCTTCATGTTTTCAAATACCAGTACTGCACACCCTAAAGTGATGAGGTAAAATCATCTAAGAATTTTTCTTAATGCTGTTAGTGAACCATTACTCACTTCGCATCACTTATTACTACCAGAAGGCTAAAGTTGCTTAGAGGTCGTTTAGAACGTTACGTTAAAAGATGAACATGCCATTATGAAGCAAAATATTTTAGTAATAAAAGCTTGATGAAAATTGTACAAATAAAACAATGTATGATTAACATGACCAATATAACGCTCTTTAAAACAGTATTTTTACATAGAGAGGTTCGTACTAATTCTGATTTCTAAAGTTTAAATTATCATTAGCCAGCTAATACGTTAAAACTAACAAGAGAATTTGAAATTCTAAGAAAATCATAGTAATTTTTATAGGAAAAATATTATTTAATAAAAACGGGCTTTAGTAAATAACTTTTAATATAAAATAAAAATAAGTCAATCTTTGAAAGTATACATCATCTTGACAATTCCAGAGAAACTGTTTTCTTATTAAAACTGCGATACTTCCGTTTAAATGATATATACAGTGTAAATAAGTATTTAAACACAAGGACATAAAAAAATACTGAAAAAGGGCGTTTTTTGAATGGTACCCTGTAAAGCAAGAACGATGTCTCAATGATATATATATATATATATATATACATATGAAGCTTTTCATATAGAAGTAATGCAAAAGTTAGAAACAAATAATAATAAATTTAATTCGTTGAAATGTCAGTTTTAGTCGCTATAAAAACATAACATCTAATGAATTAACCCAAGACGTGCAAATCATGCGGAAACTATATAAAGTACAATAACTTGGCTGAAAACATGACGATATAAACGAAAATTAAACATAAAAATCAAAGTGTTTACTTGAGATGTATTTATGAAGCAAAAATAACATAAAACCTGATTGATTAACTCAAGGTTTATTCAATACCATACAAAAAATGTTTCAAAAACCTACTGTTCGATTAACTATTTACAAACGTATACAGTAACAACCAGAAATTATTTCAAACTTAACGGATTAATTTAAGACGAACATAGTATAAAATGTATATGTATGATTTAAAGCCTAATGGACTGATTCAAGAAAAACCCAATAACAAATAAAAAGTATTCGAAACTCCGATGAATTTATTAAAGGCTTACATAATATAAAAAAAGAGAGTTATTGTTCGTTTCAGTGTAAAATCACATAATAAGTTATTTACACGTTGTCCGCTATGACGGAATCAAACCCCACATTTTTAGCTTTGCAAGTGCGTAAACTTACCACTGACCCACCGGAGGACAAGCGATTGACTTAGAAACATCTACAATAATAACTGAATTCTAGAGTAATTTTTAATATAGACAACAAAGTGTTTGCTTGAAAGAAATATAACACTAATGAAAATGTGTAATAATGAATATGCTATTATATACAGACGTCCGTCTATAGCAAAATGTATTCTGACTTACCTGAGTTTTTCTGACAAATTTCAATTAAAGTTGACAGAATATTTTATAGAAACTTTGA